GTATAGGTCCATCCAACCACTTCTCAGAGAGCATCTCAAGGTCCTGTTGTGCATAGAAATTAAACCTGACAAGCAGTGCATGGAGAGACCAGAAACAGAAAAGGTGAATGCAAGGCAGTGCACACACTGATAGTGTGCTGGGTGATGGTGAGCAGGCACTGCTTTTGCCCTGATCCCACTGTTGCTTATCTTTCTGCTTGCTCCCAGCCTTGGCACTCACAGCCCGCTGCTGTGCTATTGGCACTGGGATAAATGCTGGTTTCTTGGGCTCCAGGAGTCCATGATCTGAGTGATGCCATAGAAGGGCACTGTGAGTTGGGTTTTCTTCCCTCATCTCTGGCCTGCTGGGCTCTCTTCTGTTCAGAGCACAGCCTTGCAGGGGCTTGGCTTCCTGCTCTGTGATTTCTTCAAACCCAGGAAAATGGAGTTTGTTTGGGCTGGGACCTCTCGGTGTGACGGCAGTACAAATGCAGAGCTATAATTCCTCAGTGCACTGCGAATGCGGGGGAAGAGCCGCAGAAGTGCTTTGTGCTGTCGCTGCCCTGCTGTGCACAGCCTGGTGCTGCTGGTCTGTTCATGGGGATGCCAAGTCATGGATTCACCTCAAATAAGCCAAAGGCCTGGGGAACCCCGCAGTGCCTCTGCACTCTGCTGCTCTGTGTTGAGGGGACTGCAGCAGAGGGGCAGTGGGAGCATGGGGTGCAGAGCTGGGTGTGCTGAATGCTGCTCGTGTGCTGCAACCAGCTCCTGCCTCCTCCCCAGCCCTGCAGGGAGGTGTAGTGGTTTGGCTCTGAGTGCTGGTGCCCACTGAGCACTCCTCACCCAGAAAGCTCTCCATCCCTGTGTGCTGGGAGGGCTCCCTCACCTCAAAGATGGCAACAAGATGGAGAGAGGTTCTTAAATTGATCGATATGAGTTCTATTTTCTAAGCCTGGTTATTAGTAAGTGTGGACATCCTTGATATCCAGAGAGTGTTCCTGAGCATCTCTTGTACATTCCAGTATCTTTGCAGTTCTGATGTAATCAATGTGTTGATGTTGCATTTCCGCCTATAAGAGCTGAAGCTCTTTGGCTTTACCCTTACTTGTAAGTGCAACTCCACCTACTGCTGGATAGTTGGAAATCTGCACAGGGGGAATCTGCCTTTGGGCTGGTGTGGTGCTGGGGAGCTGCTGGGGGCTCTCAGGAAGGTGCTGGGCTTCCTGCCTGCGGGAGGAGGAGCACCGAAACCCTGCAGGATGGAAGGGATGCATCCTACACAGGGAGAGAAAAGGAAGCATCAACACTTGTCTTTTTTTTTTTTTTTTTTTTTTTTGCCATTTTTTTCTTTTTGACGAATTTGTTGCTTTAACTGAACCAAATGTCAAAGGAAAAACTATTCCAGCAAGGAAGCAAAAAACTCAGTCTTCTGCAGTTTTAATTTTCCTTTGGAACATTAGAGAAATTTGGTGAACAGAATAAAACAAAATCTCAAAGCTTCCTGGAAAAGGCTGATGTTTGCAGCAGGCTGTTGAAGAGAAGGGCTGGTGGCAGAGCAAAGCAGTGCTGCTCCGTGCAGCCCCCAGCTAGTTCGCACTAACTCTGGCAACCTTGGGATATCACAGGGTTTGGAAAGCTGTTTGCAAACTGTGTTGTGGGAATGTGGGGCATCCCCTGGGGACTAATGAGCAGATATGACCCATGTTTGCTTCTTGAGAATCTCTTCAGCCAACGGCTCAGCCATGTGAAATGGGTGGTGTCTGTCCATATATTGGTAGTGCTCTGAAGTTTTCCCAAGTGATGATGCCATGCTGTTAGATTTGTTGGGTCCTTGAAATGCACTTATTGCTGTGTCTGTTGAGGAGTTTGTGGCAGTGGTAGGATTGCACGGAGCCTCGCTTTCCCTTGGCTTGGGACATAGAGGGATGGTGTGTGCAGGTGGCTCTACAGCCCTTGGGGATTGCTGGAGGTACAATGAGAGCCAGGCAGATCTCTCAGCCCCTTGGGCGTCTCAGTAGTCTCTGGTGAGATGTTGGTGCAGTCCTGAGCATGGAGACTTTGGGCAAAATGTGCATTCCTTTTCTTACCTTATGTGGCTGCCAAAAGTACCTCCACACAGTTGATGCTGCTCACGACATTCAGGGCTTTGAGAAGTGTTCAGTCAGCGTTTCTTACAGAAAGCTCTGTGTGCAGCTGCTTCTGGGTCCAATCTCAGCATTGTAGGTTGATTCGCTGGAAGAATTTGAAAAAAAAACAACCGTTCTTGCTTCGTCAACTGCTTATAGTGGGGTATAATGTGCTTTATTATTAATAAGTTGGATCAGCACGTAAATGGAGTTTTGGCAGTCAGGATTGAAAGCTAGCTAGATGAAAGGAAAATATTTCATGATGCAGGTACTGTGGATCCTGTTAAGACTAATGAAAAATCTGCTTTGTTCTAAATGATATTTTCAGAAAGATTGTTACGACAGCAATGGCTGCTGAGCAATCCCGAGCCATTTCTCTCCCCTCCAGTACAATGGTTTCTGCATAATGCAGGCACTGAAATGAGAAATCAGCAGTTTGTAATGGGTTCTCAAACTAAAATTAAGCATCGATTTCCTGGCTCGCAGCCAGATGTTTGACACTCATTTAGCAGGCAAATATTTCTGGGCCAGAGCAATTCTTATTTGGACTCTGAAGTCATGGAAGTTGTGTTTTGTTGGCCTTCGTTCTCTGCATTCCCAAAGAGAATGTGCTGCATGCATGAGGGTTTGCTGCTCTCATTTGCCTTCTTGCACTGTGAGTGAAGCACGGACTGTCAGCACAGAGCTTCGGGTTACACTTTGCAGCCATTGCTCTTTCTAGGAACACGCGACTTCCCAGCAAGAGCCTTCTGGACACACTCATTATGTGTGGAGTGATGCATTTTGGCTGTTGCATTGGTTGAGTTCTGGGTAAGCATATGACAGCCATAAGCTGACATCACCAGCACTGGGGATCTGTAATTAGTCTGAAAAGCGTTTTGCTGAGTAACAGCCCTTTGCTCTGAGTTGCAGCAGAGCTGCTTTGCCCACCCAGTGCAATCAGCCCCTTGCCCTTTTACAGTCAGCAATCTGCTCTGCCAACAACCGGCATCTTAGAGCTTCATTTCACTTTTTCTCCTCGTGACAGCCTGGATTCTGGCTTCAGCACCAGGTGACCTCTTTTCTCCCTTGGAAGGGAAATGCCTGGTAAAAGCAGCAGCCCTGCACTGGTTTCTTGTGACCTGCCTTGGTTTGGTCCCCTCTCTTCTGTCTTTGTGCCTTTGTGCTCAAGTGCTCCTGTAAGAGGTAACTTCATGTAGAGGCTCCCGCAGGTGGGAACTGATTTTCTTGAAGGGTTATTTTATGCTTTTTTTTTTTTTTTTTTTTTTTTGTCATGTGCTG